TTTTTTTTTTTTTGCTTGAGATGCTTTGTTGAGGTGGCTGGAGTTCCGCTCTAATGGGAGAGCAAATTATCCAATATTATTTCATTTTGGTTAAAACAAAGCTGAGCCCCGGGGCGTGTTGTGCTCCAGACAAGACAAAGTTCTAGCCTCGGGGTGTCAATTCTCACACCGCTATGTTGAGAGGGTGTGACAAGTGTGGAGGAATTTGCGTTCATAAATCTACTTTGATAAGTAAACCATTATCATTTGGCTAAAAGGTAGGTTTGTCAAAACTCTTGGGCAAGTTGCATAAGCACACTTTGGTTCCCCCTTTGTTATTTTATTTACACATAGGCCTGTATCATTATCATAGTTCCACTTATTACAATAACAAATTAATAACATCAGCAGAGAGGACGTTATTTCTCAATAGGAATTTAGGCTGCAGCTCACCCATGTACTATTTTGCTCTGATCTGCTTGCCTACTGCTGGAAACATGAAAACATACTAACAACGATCAACATCCATCCGCTTCCTGGGCTGTCAAATCGAGCAAAAACAATCTAGTTTCTCTTACGTTGTCATCTAAATTAGAATGTGTTAGTTAACCTGATCCCCTGATCCGTCCCACCTTCTCTTCCAAAGACAAAGTAAAACAATTCACTTATTTCATTCATGGCCTAAAATAACTACAGTACATCAATAATGTGGTATGTGACGACGAATGTGATGGCTGGTTTTCAGGCTAGTGGATAGAAAGACGGCGCCTTGGCAAGACTGACTTTGTTTACGTGCACAAATCAATAGGATGACTGACATTGTTTCTTTGCTGTACTTTATCCACACTTTTTTGTGTGGTTCCCATTTTTATGCAGTAAGTGTAATCCGATCATTGGCCAAACCATATCTGCCTATGTGTGTACTGTGTCTGTGTTAGTTGGCCAATGATGCTCTTTTCAACCGCTTCGGGGTGGAGGTTCAATAAGGTAGAGGGGCTTGTTGCTACTTGCTTCCCTCAAGTGTGGAACAAGCAGAGCGGTAAAAGGAATAACTTTACAGCTCTTTACAATTTGTATGTGTGGGTGTGTACTTAAAAAAAAACAACTGAGTGTTGTACCCAAAATAGCATGTTGGAGAAACGACTGCACTTCTAGTGTCTGGGGGGGAACATAGATGTGAAGAGGTAGAATCAACTTCTTTAGCGCTGCATGCTTACGGTGATGCTAAGCTAACGTCAATGCTTTCCATATCCTTTGATGGGACAGTCACCCTGCCAACATGGCCGACACATTGGTCAATAAAAAAAACAACTGAGTGTTGTACCCAAAATAGCATGTTGGAGAAACGACTGCACTTCTAGTGTCTGGGGGGGAACATAGATGTGAAGAGGTAGAATCAACTTCTTTAGCGCTGCATGCTTACGGTGATGCTAAGCTAACGTCAATGCTTTCCATATCCTTTGATGGGACAGTCACCCTGCCAACATGGCCGACACATTGGTCAACTTTGTAGCCTGATTTAGTCTACTCTAAGTCTATTAATGACAAGAAGGCGGCGCAAGCCGGAAACACATGACCAATCACTGTCTGCTGAGGGTGGCCCAGCGCCATTTACTGCCACTGTGGTAAATTGCGTCCAATTCTGGAATTAACAGACTTTGAAAGGTCATTTTTGAATGCAATGGCCATTATTTTCTGTCTGTTGGTCCTGTGTTTGTTAAATCAAGGTTCAACTGTATTTTCTTCCAACACAAACAGTCAGATCATCCCTTCCACCCATCTTTGTCTCTTGGGTTTTAGCTACGTATTCATCTGTGCATTTAAGGCCTGCACACCGAACGACACGGCTGAATACAACTACAGCGGTACCTCTACTTACAAACGTCTCTTCATATGAAACTTTCAAGTTACGAAATGCCTCAACAGGAAAATATTGCCTCTTGTTACGAAAGAAATTTCAAGATACAAAAGGTAAAAATACAGTATGGGCTGCTAATCGCAGCTCCTAGTTTCCTGAATGCAACATACTTCGAGCTGCTCTGCTATTGGCTATTACTGAACATCATCCTGGCATCCCATTGGCTAAGAGGGACCTCTACCGAATGTGTCTATGTGTGTAGATAGATAGATGTTTGTCAATGCAGCATCCTCGACATTCGCCCCTCGGGCCATGAGGTCTTCTGATAGGTTTATGTGAAATGTGAATCACCCAGAAAAAGTGTTCACCAGTTGGGCGATCTCTCACGATGCTGATGTTTGCCTTGGACATTTTCGAAGGATTGATAAAAGCCAACAAAAGCAGACGTTCTTGGATCAGTTCTTCACAAAACGCGAGGCAAAATCCACTTCTGAGAGAGAACATGAACGAAAGAGGGCAGAAAACGATAAGGAAGCAGTTAAAAGTTAAATGCCCATTATTTTTATCCTTTTAAAACCCAAAGGACTTGGCGGTGCTTTACACCCACCTAGAGGAGCCTGTTCTATAACTGATAACCCCCGTTAAACCTCACCCTATTTTGCTTAATCAATTTATATACCGCCGTCGTCAGCTTACCTTGTGAAAGAACAATAGTGAGCAAAACTAGTTATAACCCAAAACGTCAGGTCGAGGTGTAGTTTATAATAGGGAAAGAAATGGGCTACACTCATTTACTAATGAATACGGATGGTATATTGAAACATAAACCTAAAGGAGGATTTAGCAGTAAGAAGAAAATAGAGTGTTCATCTGAAATCGGCTCTAAAGCGCGCACACACCGCCCGTCACTCTCCCCAACAACAAATTTACAATTAATTAAAACCAAAATAAAATACAAGGGGAGGCAAGTCGTAACATGGTAAGTGTACCGGAAGGTGTGCTTGGAATACCAGAGCATAGCTAAAGTAGTTAAAGCATCTCACTTACACCGAGAAGTTGTTCTTGCAAATAGAACTGCCCTGATACTCAAATGCTAGCTCAAACACTAAATTCAAATAAAAATTAAAAATAACCCCTAATACCCCAAAAAACTACATTAAAACATTTTATAACCCAAGTAAGGGAGACTGAAAAGGAATAATGAAGCTATAAAATCAGTACCGCAAGGGAAAGCTGAAAAAGAAATTAAACAAATATTTAAGTTAATAATAGCAAAGATTAAATCTTGTACCTTTTGCATCATGGTTTAACAAGATAATTCAAGCAAAGAGATCTTCAGTTTGTTACCCCGAAACTAAACGAGCTACTCCGAGACAGTCAGAACAAATGGACAAACCCGTACCTGTGGCAAAAGGTTGGGGTGAGCTCTGAGTAGAGGTGATAAACCAAACGAGCTTAGTTATAGCTGGTTGCCTGAGAAATGAATAAAAGTTCAGCCTATTTTACCCCCAAAATCAATTAAAGTATAAACAGCATAGATTTAGTTAATAATAATATAGAGTTAGTCAAAAGGGGTACAGCTCTTTTGACATAGGACACAACCTTAATTATGAGGTTAAAAATCATAAACAACAAAGTACTTACATGCCTTAGTGGGCCTGAAAGCAGCCATCAAAACAGAAAGCGTTAAAGCTCAAGCACTAATAATACTTTTAATTCAGATAAATATTTTTAAACCCATAAATAAATCAGGCCTTTTCATAATACATGAAAGCGATAATGTTAATATGAGTAATAAGAGAAGTAAAAGATTCTCTCCCTTAGCAAAAGTGTGCTTCGGATCGAACTAACACCGAAAATTAATGATCCCTATATATGTATAGATCGAACTCACGAGGGTCACGTTGTGCTGGAGCCTATCCCGGCTGTCTTCGGGTAGTCGGCAGAGGACACCCTGAACTGGTTGCCAGCCAATCACAGGGCACGCATAGACGAACATCCTTTCGCACTTACACTCACACCTACACTCACAATTTAGTGTGTTTCATTAACCTACCATGCATGTTTTGGGAATGTGGGAGGAAACCAAAGTACCCGAAGAACATCCAAACTCCACACAGGAAGGCCGGAGCCAGACTCAAACCCTGCACCTCTGCACTGTGAACGCGACGTGCTAACCAGTCGTCCACCGTGCCGCCCTAAGGCAAATTATTTTTCACGGCACTGTACGAGATCACATTACTCCCATACGTTTTGACTCATTTGAAAAGGACTGACGCAGCAATATTTTTTAAATCAACGTTTCTTTTCAGGTACGTTAGCTGAATGTTTTTTTATGGTTGATTAATTGTCTTGGCAACACAGCAAAATTAAACAAAAATAAATGGTCTGTTTTCTAAAAAAAAAATTGTGGCCTAAATTGTCGGTGTCAATCGCCGATTCTGGAACGACTATTTGTCATTTAATCGGCGGGCTGTTGTCTGGGCACTTCCCGTAGTGACCACCAGATGGCACCCAAGTAATGAGCCTCGCGCCACACTTCACACGTTCCACATAATCTTTGATTATGTTTTAGTGTTGCTCCATACCATCGCTATCACTGACCTATTATTGTATTTATTTTGAGATTAGCCTCAAATCTGGGAAAGCAGTCGGCCTGCTGATCTACTCCGTGACGCGAGACACCGCCCGCCCGCCCTACTGCAGTCATGCAGTATGCATCCAGGGAGGAGTTTGAAGCTACCACTACCCTGAGCGGATAGGGAGGGGAAGTTAGAAAAAAAAGGTCGCTAACTGCCCTTTCTCCCTTGCCCTGTTTCTTGGAATAATTGAAATCACCACAAAATCGCTTCATTGAATTTCCAAGGGGACTGTCGGCGGCACTGTTAACTGCGCGCTCAGGTAAGAATTATGTTTTCAACTTTGAAAAGTTTCCACCGTTTTTGCAAGAAGTCCTTGACGTCACCAGGGACTCGGTGTGGAAACAGAATGAAAAGTTAGTGACGCTGATTTGTTTACGAGTATTATTTGTTGCAGTCAAAAGGTAATCGTGCGGATTCGTCTATGTTCAGTTCCCTAAATAGTTTCCACACAACGTTGTGCAGTTCTCCTGGATGGCTATTGGAGGCTAACTGCGCCTTTCCTCTTCAGACTCATACCGTACGTAGCAGGACGGTCTGTAGGCTCCACTGCAGATCTCATTCTGACGTGTGCAGCCTTCTATAGAAAAAGGAAAGCGATCTGAAGTTGAGGTAGAGAGGTGGCGAGTGTGTGTCCTATTTGTGTGTTGTGGAAGCTCACGTTGAAACGTGAACATTTCCATATCTCCACAATGGTTTTGGTTTTTGTTTTTTTTTTTTTGCTTGAGATGCTTTGTTGAGGTGGCTGGAGTTCCGCTCTAATGGGAGAGCAAATTATCCAATATTATTTCATTTTGGTTAAAACAAAGCTGAGCCCCGGGGCGTGTTGTGCTCCAGACAAGACAAAGTTCTAGCCTCGGGGTGTCAATTCTCACACCGCTATGTTGAGAGGGTGTGACAAGTGTGGAGGAATTTGCGTTCATAAATCTACTTTGATAAGTAAACCATTATCATTTGGCTAAAAGGTAGGTTTGTCAAAACTCTTGGGCAAGTTGCATAAGCACACTTTGGTTCCCCCTTTGTTATTTTATTTACACATAGGCCTGTATCATTATCATAGTTCCACTTATTACAATAACAAATTAATAACATCAGCAGAGAGGACGTTATTTCTCAATAGGAATTTAGGCTGCAGCTCACCCATGTACTATTTTGCTCTGATCTGCTTGCCTACTGCTGGAAACAGATGAACATACTAACAACGATCAACATCCATCCGCTTCCTGGGCTGTCAAATCGAGCAAAAACACAATCTAGTTTCTTACGTTGTCATCTAAATTAGAATGTGTTAGTTAACCTGATCCCCTGATCCGTCCCACCTTCTCTTCCAAAGACAAAGTAAAACAATTCACTTATTTCATTCATGGCCTAAAATAACTACAGTACATCAATAATGTGGTATGTGACGACGAATGTGATGGCTGGTTTTCAGGCTAGTGGATAGAAAGACGGCGCCTTGGCAAGACTGACTTTGTTTACGTGCACAAATCAATAGGATGACTGACATTGTTTCTTTGCTGTACTTTATCCACACTTTTTTGTGTGGTTCCCATTTTTATGCAGTAAGTGTAATCCGATCATTGGCCAAACCATATCTGCCTATGTGTGTACTGTGTCTGTGTTAGTTGGCCAATGATGCTCTTTTCAACCGCTTCGGGGTGGAGGTTCAATAAGGTAGAGGGGCTTGTTGCTACTTGCTTCCCTCAAGTGTGGAACAAGCAGAGCGGTAAAAGGAATAACTTTACAGCTCTTTACAATTTGTATGTGTGGGTGTGTACTTAAAAAAAACAACTGAGTGTTGTACCCAAAATAGCATGTTGGAGAAACGACTGCACTTCTAGTGTCTGGGGGGGAACATAGATGTGAAGAGGTAGAATCAACTTCTTTAGCGCTGCATGCTTACGGTGATGCTAAGCTAACGTCAATGCTTTCCATATCCTTTGATGGGACAGTCACCCTGCCAACATGGCCGACACATTGGTCAACTTTGTAGCCTGATTTAGTCTACTCTAAGTCTATTAATGACAAGAAGGCGGCGCAAGCCGGAAACACATGACCAATCACTGTCTGCTGAGGGCGGCCCAGCGCCATTTACTGCCACTGTGGTAAATTGCGTCCAATTCTGGAATTAACAGACTTTGAAAGGTCATTTTTGAATGCAATGGCCATTATTTTCTGTCTGTTGGTCCTGTGTTTGTTAAATCAAGGTTCAACTGTATTTTCTTCCAACACAAACAGTCATATCATCCCTTCCACCCATCTTTGTCTCTTGGGTTTTAGCTACGTATTCATCTGTGCATTTAAGGCCTGCACACCGAACGACACGGCTGAATACAACTACAGCGGTACCTCTACTTACAAACGTCTCTTCATATGAAACTTTCAAGTTACGAAATGCCTCAACAGGAAAATATTGCCTCTTGTTACGAAAGAAATTTCAAGATACAAAAGGTAAAAATACAGTATGGGCTGCTAATCGCAGCTCCTAGTTTCCTGAATGCAACATACTTCGAGCTGCTCTGGTATTGGCTATTACTGAACATCATCCTGGCATCCCATTGGCTAAGAGGGACCTCTACCGAATGTGTCTATGTGTGTAGATAGATAGATGTTTGTCAATGCAGCATCCTCGACATTCGCCCCTCGGGCCATGAGGTCTTCTGATAGGTTTATGTGTTTTTTTTTTTTGCTTGAGATGCTTTGTTGAGGTGGCTGGAGTTCCGCTCTAATGGGAGAGCAAATTATCCAATATTATTTCATTTTGGTTAAAACAAAGCTGAGCCCCGGGGCGTGTTGTGCTCCAGACAAGACAAAGTTCTAGCCTCGGGGTGTCAATTCTCACACCGCTATGTTGAGAGGGTGTGACAAGTGTGGAGGAATTTGCGTTCATAAATCTACTTTGATAAGTAAACCATTATCATTTGGCTAAAAGGTAGGTTTGTCAAAACTCTTGGGCAAGTTGCATAAGCACACTTTGGTTCCCCCTTTGTTATTTTATTTACACATAGGCCTGTATCATTATCATAGTTCCACTTATTACAATAACAAATTAATAACATCAGCAGAGAGGACGTTATTTCTCAATAGGAATTTAGGCTGCAGCTCACCCATGTACTATTTTGCTCTGATCTGCTTGCCTACTGCTGGAAACAGATGAACATACTAACAACGATCAACATCCATCCGCTTCCTGGGCTGTCAAATCGAGCAAAAACACAATCTAGTTTCTTACGTTGTCATCTAAATTAGAATGTGTTAGTTAACCTGATCCCCTGATCCGTCCCACCTTCTCTTCCAAAGACAAAGTAAAACAATTCACTTATTTCATTCATGGCCTAAAATAACTACAGTACATCAATAATGTGGTATGTGACGACGAATGTGATGGCTGGTTTTCAGGCTAGTGGATAGAAAGACGGCGCCTTGGCAAGACTGACTTTGTTTACGTGCACAAATCAATAGGATGACTGACATTGTTTCTTTGCTGTACTTTATCCACACTTTTTTGTGTGGTTCCCATTTTTATGCAGTAAGTGTAATCCGATCATTGGCCAAACCATATCTGCCTATGTGTGTACTGTGTCTGTGTTAGTTGGCCAATGATGCTCTTTTCAACCGCTTCGGGGTGGAGGTTCAATAAGGTAGAGGGGCTTGTTGCTACTTGCTTCCCTCAAGTGTGGAACAAGCAGAGCGGTAAAAGGAATAACTTTACAGCTCTTTACAATTTGTATGTGTGGGTGTGTACTTAAAAAAAACAACTGAGTGTTGTACCCAAAATAGCATGTTGGAGAAACGACTGCACTTCTAGTGTCTGGGGGGGAACATAGATGTGAAGAGGTAGAATCAACTTCTTTAGCGCTGCATGCTTACGGTGATGCTAAGCTAACGTCAATGCTTTCCATATCCTTTGATGGGACAGTCCCCCTGCCAACATGGCCGACACATTGGTCAACTTTGTAGCCTGATTTAGTCTACTGTAAGTCTATTAATGACAAGAAGGCGGCGCAAGCCGGAAACACATGACCAATCACTGTCTGCTGAGGGCGGCCCAGCGCCATTTACTGCCACTGTGGTAAATTGCGTCCAATTCTGGAATTAACAGACTTTGAAAGGTCATTTTTGAATGCAATGGCCATTATTTTCTGTCTGTTGGTCCTGTGTTTGTTAAATCAAGGTTCAACTGTATTTTCTTCCAACACAAACAGTCATATCATCCCTTCCACCCATCTTTGTCTCTTGGGTTTTAGCTACGTATTCATCTGTGCATTTAAGGCCTGCACACCGAACGACACGGCTGAATACAACTACAGCGGTACCTCTACTTACAAACGTCTCTTCATATGAAACTTTCAAGTTACGAAATGCCTCAACAGGAAAATATTGCCTCTTGTTACGAAAGAAATTTCAAGATACAAAAGGTAAAAATACAGTATGGGCTGCTAATCGCAGCTCCTAGTTTCCTGAATGCAACATACTTCGAGCTGCTCTGCTATTGGCTATTACTGAACATCATCCTGGCATCCCATTGGCTAAGAGGGACCTCTACCGAATGTGTCTATGTGTGTAGATAGATAGATGTTTGTCAATGCAGCATCCTCGACATTCGCCCCTCGGGCCATGAGGTCTTCTGATAGGTTTATGTGAAATGTGAATCACCCAGAAAAAGTGTTCACCAGTTGGGCGATCTCTCACGATGCTGATGTTTGCCTTGGACATTTTCGAAGGATTGATAAAAGCCAACAAAAGCAGACGTTCTTGGATCAGTTCTTCACAAAACGCGAGGCAAAATCCACTTCTGAGAGAGAACATGAACGAAAGAGGGCAGAAAACGATAAGGAAGCAGTTAAAAGTTAAATGCCCATTATTTTTATCCTTTACTCTTTTCTTTGTTTTTTACATTATGCACAACTCTCATTTATTGTGCAATAATCTAATTGTAATATATATTTGTTACATGTTTTCATGCATTTTTATGTTTTAGAAAACATTTATGTCTGAATTTTGGGGGGGGGCTTGGAATGGATTAGGGCATTTACATGGAAAACGCGTCTCTACTTACAAAATTTTCGAGTTATGAAATTTCTTCCAGAACCAATACTTTTCGTAAGTAGAGGTACCACTGCATAAGAATACAATCTTGACTCTTTAAGTCATAGATAGATGTGAAATGATAAATATGGTAAAGTATTAGTGTAATGTATCCATCCCTCCATTTTCTGTACTTCTTATCCTCATTAGGATCGCAGGTGTACTGTAACCTTT